ATGAGAATGTAAGTGGTGTGTGTGGTGTGATGTGTACATGGTGTGTGGGGGGTATGAGGGACTGTGTGTGGGGGTATGTGTGTGTGTGTGATATGTTTGTGCTCTACCATTGACCCACAGCCCTGTCAGATTCTTGAGTGGTAAGTTCCACTCAATTCAAAACAGGAGACAGGTTCCCCTCCACCTGAGGTGCCTTCCCAGGACCCTGGCAAATTTGGCCAGAGTCATGGCTGGCTGTGAGATGTGATTACTACTGTCCTTAGCAGGTCCCCAAAGATCAAGGCAGCTGTCTGCTCATCTCTTCACCTGCTGACCTCTCCACCCTGCCATAGCTCCTTAAAGGTTACTTTTGGGGCTGGAGAGACTACTCAGCGGTTAAGAGACTGATTGCTCTTCCAGAGGTCTGAGTTCAATTCCCAGCAACCACATGGTGGCTCACAACCATCTGTAATGGGATCTAATGACCTCTTCTGATATGTCTGAAGACAACTACAGTGTACTCATATACATAAAAAAATACATCTTTTTTTAAAAAAGGTGTGTGTGTGGGGGTAGAAGAACAGGACAAGATAGCCAGGCTTGGCTATTCAAAGATGGGAAAATGGTCCCAGAAAAGAGTACCGTATTGTTTTTTCAGAGGGCACTAGAAAAGTGCTCAACATAGGACTGACCGGGTCATCACACTATGCTACAGAGATGTACCCCAGCCCACCTTAAGATTTTTAATCCAGAAGGTGACTGTACTTTAGCCTTGCCTGAGCTGGGACAAGCAGAGTGTTAATGTTTGCCTTAGCTAGGCACCACTGTATAGTGGAAAACTAAGGCCATGAGCAATAATCTCCCAACTTCCTGCCTCTTCCCACACTAAGCTATCCGCACTTGCACAAGGCCTGACTTTATTCCATCTGGTTTCCTACTGCTACAACTGGCTTCCTCTCGTGCCCCACCCACTTGATCCTCTGCAGGATAATGTTCCTTAGGTTTCATAAGCTTCCTCCCCTCTCCTCTAGCTGAGCCCTTCTCTCTACTGGGTTCCACACTGGCATAGAAACAATGGCTCTCCCAACTTAAAGCCAAAACCTACAGCCTGAGCTCCCTCCGCTTTCGTTCTCAGCTCATCCTTCCGTTCTCAGCTCAGCTTCAAGACAGAGTGGACAGCATCCAACGCTCCCTTCCATGTTCTCTCAGTCATGAGGTACCTTCTCCCACTAAAGGCACTCCCCAAATACCTTGGCTGCCCAACTCAGAGGGACTCCCGTGTCCCAGGTCGTCAGTGTCCCTTGTTCTGGTCCACTTGGCTCTCTCTCTAGAGCATTCTCTTCTCCTATCCTCTGCTCCTGGGTCCTGTGACACGATTTCTGTTTACTCAGTCACTTATTTACTTATTTATTATTGTGTGTGTTTGGTGTGTGCGCGTGCACACATGCACATATGCATGTGCCACAGTCCATGTATGGCGGTCAGAAAACAACCTTCAGGGGTTGGTTCACTCCTTCCACCTTTGTGTGAGCTCCAGGAATCAAACTCGGGTCAGCAGGCTTGCAGAGCAAGCACTGTATCGGCTGAGCCATCTCACTGGTCTCACTTTTCCCTTCTTCTCCCTCTCCATCTTCGTCTGCCTCTCCCTTTTTTACTCTTCAAACATGGGTGTTGACTCAAACCTGCATCGTCAGCCTGCTGCTCACCCCCTAGTCCTCCACTTACAGTCTCATGAACCCCTGTTCCTGTCCACACCACCCTCACAATGATAGTTCCAGATGTGCATTCCTCCTTCATTTCATGTGGTCACCCATACCTCAAAACCCAAAGGGCCAAAACTGAGCCTCCATCCCCTTTCTTCTCTGCTCCCATCCTGGGCTCCCCACTGAATGGCACTACCCAATCCCAGGCTAGACAACCCTCCAGTCATTTGGAAAACCCACCTTGTTCATCTGAAGTCCCACCACAGGCTGTGATTCTGTTCTTTACATTCCAAAGCTAATCCTTCCTCCTGTCTTAACTGCCACTGTCCTGGCCTTTTCTTTTTTCTCCTGAGCTACAGCCGACTCCTAACATTCCTCCTGCTACAGTCACTCCCTCTTCAAGGCTTGGGGGTTCTTCCTAAAGTATGGATCGGATCATTTCACTTCCTGCTTAGAACCCCTCAATGGCTCTCTACTGGCCTCAGCTACAGGGCCTCTCTTGCCCTTCCCCCTGTCACCTCTAACTGCATCCCTGTGCATCTAGCACCTCTTGACTTGATGGAGGCACGTGCTTCTGGGCATAGCTTTCCCAATCCAGCTCCCTTATGTGACTCTAACTTATCTCCTTGTGACTCTGCTCTGCGATTATACTCTTAAAGAGCTTTCCCGAGCCCCCAAATTGGACCCCATGTCCCTTACACAAATCTCAAAAAATGGTCTTAAAATATTGTATTCCAGGACTGGAGAAATGGTTCAGTGGTTGAAGGCACGAGTTGCTCTCCTAGAAGATCTGAGCTCAATTTCCAGCACCCACTCACATGGCAGCTCACAACTGTCTGGAGCTCTCGTTCTGGTAGCATCCAACATCCTCTTCTGGCCTCCAGGGCACTGGGCACATGGTGCACACGCATACATGCAAGTAAAACACTAATATACAAAATTTCAATTAAAATACTGTATCTAGAATTAAATTTTACTAGAAAAGCTAGTTATAAAAATTGTGCCAGAGTGGCTTACCAATGGCTCAGCAGTTAAGAGCACAGGCTTCTATTTCAGAGGTCCTGAGTTCAATTCCCAATACCCATATGGTGGCTCATAATCAACTATACCTGTAATCCCATGGGATCTGGTATCTTCTTCTGGTGTACAAGTGTACAAAACATCCATATAAATAAGAATTGTGCCAGGCATAGTGGGGTCTATGATCCCCAGACTCGAGAGATAGAGGCAGGAGGATCAGGAGTTCAAAACCAGTCTCAGTTATATAATGGGTTTGAGGCCAGCCTGAACTACATGAGACTCTGTCTCAACACAAACTAAACAAGTAAAGTTTTAAAAAATTACAAGTTACGCTCTCTAGCCTCAAGCTCGAAATTAACATACTTCAGCAGAGAATGGCTGCGAATCAGAATATAAAGACAGAAGTCTCTAGTAGTAAGGATTTGATAGACATGGAGATGGGTACCCGGAACACAGATGGCATCCTTGCATAGGGTCTTTCCAACACAGACTGGGGCTGGGTTGGGCACTGATAGGGCAGGGTGCACAGACGAACATAAGACTATACAAAGTGCCCTCTACTTCCGTTTCTGGCTGTGGGCTGAGGTACCACCAGGCTGTCAGCCATGGAAGGGAAGCAAGGAGACAGAACAATCAGCATCCCTGCCACCTCCAAGGGGAAGCAAGGCTCAGAGAGGAAAGGGGAGGTCAGACAGTGTGAACTGGCTTCCTCTAAAAACTCAGGATTTCATTTTCCAGGTGTGGCAACCAACTATTCCAATAATTAGAGTCTCATGTTCCCTGAGTTTCTTCCCCACCAGCCTCTGCTGGGCAGACACATTGGAAATTGCTCTGGCCCACTGGTTCTAAAGGGTACTAGGAATTCTTTTAAAAAGCAAACAGTAGCCTGGACTGTGTGACTGAGTAGCGGAGCACTTGCCTGGCCTATCGGAGGCTTTGCATTTGATCCCCAGCACTGAAAGGCAAAGGGCGAGGAGCAAATTGCCATTTAGGTCTCAGAACATAGGAAAATCCCTGACAGCCGGGTTCCCCTCCCCATCTCCACACACCAATGTGTGTTCTTTTTCTGCTTAAGCATTTCAAAGTACTGCTATCAATACTTCAGCTTGGATCTCCTACGTAGCAGAGCCATTTATGTGTAATTGTCATCTAGAAAGCGTTTCAAACACATAGAAACTCCTGGCCCCTTGCCTGAAGTCGTGACTCAGTAGGGTGAGTCCCTGAACTGCATGCATGTCACTAATGATCAAAGGTACAGCTGGCTTGACGCCACAGGTGGGAGATTCTTTGGAAGACAAAAACTGAGTAAAAAGACAACTTCCCCCAAAGATAGGGCAGTCAGATGGTGAAGGAAGAGAACATGCACATGGTCACGTAGATTGATGCCAGGGTCTGAGCAGTACCAGGCTACACACTCAGTCTATACAGAGGCCCTCAAATGACTAGGGACAGGCAGAAGGGCAATGTGGCCAGCACAGAACCACACAATGGTTCAGCGTCAGAGAGCAGGGAGAAAGCAGGCCCTCCCTCCTGTGAGCCCGAGCCAGAGAGGGAGGCCTGAGGCACCGCTCAGCCAGCCAGCTGGCAGTGAAGCTTCCAGCCACCTCACTGTAGTTCAGAGCTGCTCAAGAGCCAAAGAACCCAAGGGCTCTGGGTTATTTCCTCTCCG